AGAAATTAGTATCTTCCGTGATCGCGATATGCGGTCAATAACGGTTAAAATAATTTTACAGTAAAAAAGATTCAAGTTGGATTTGTTCTAATGAGATATCAAATCCAAATATGGCTCATTTAAGTTTTAGATATTTTTTTAGTTCTCTTTCAATGAAAATATTCAAAAGATCACATGAGAAATATTTCGGCATTTAGAAAAGATCATCGACGCAAGTGTTCGTCTATACATAAATATTTACATATAATTTTGAATCACTTTTAAAGAAACTTTTTATTTATGCAAATTGTTAATATAAATTTACACATTTCATTAGTTTATTATATACATATATATATATATAATTTTAATACTTTTAATACGAAATGTTTTCTTGTGAAGTTAAACTAATAAACATCAACGATTATATGCAATGATCCTCTTGTTGCCATTTACATCTCTCTCCATATATATATATATATATATATATATTTTAATACGAAATGTTTTCTTGTGAAGTTAAACTAATAAACATCAACGATTATATGCAATGATCCTCTTGTTGCCATTTGTTGTTTTGACATCTCTCTTTTAGTGACCTAGTTTTCCTCTTCTGATAGTCCGTGCAATGATAATAGACGCGCGGATTTACTAGGTTAATGGTAAGTAAGAACGTGGGTGTGTAAAAGAGGAAACTTGTTTGTAGAATCCACTATTCGTTTTCATTAGGATAGAGAATGCGTTAAGAATGTGTCCTTTTAATTATAAAGAATGTGTCATTTTAATTATAAAGATATAATTTTCCAAACTTTCCCAACTTTGATTATAAACTTTGATTTTTTTGGAAATTTACATATTAGCTGTTGATTTGAGAAAATTCATTATTTATTATAAGCTTTTAACATTTAAGATTAAGATAGAGAAATAAGTAGAAATAAGTTTAAGATTAAACAATTTGTATCACACACAAATAAATTTGATGACATCTGCATTTTTATTTTTATCTGTATTTTTTATTTCGATTATATTTTTAAAATTATATGTAATACACGCACACGACAAAAATGTTTCAGTCATCGAGCTGTAAAAAATATAAAATAATCTTAAAATTATATAAATAAAATTCAAGTTCTTTTATCTGCGGTCATTTTTATACCATCACATAAGAAATGCATAATGCAAATGTACGAGCGTTCACGTTTCCTTTTAAATTCCATATTGAGTAATGGAATGTCGAGCAAACGGTCCAGCAGTTAACGAGAACAACTGTGAACGGAACAATAATTAAGATGCGAACGATAAGAAGACAGTCGTAAAGATCGTAACCGAGGATCACGCTGAAAGCTACGTATGTCCCGATTGGTTCTCCCTAATTATTATAAACGATATAGTCTCGGGACCTATAAAATTGAATCGTAAAGTACGCAAACTGCGGCGACCCTGCGTTCCGATTTCTGCCTACCTACACAGCCGTCGATTTCATTACGCATCGCGTCACGAACGCATAAGTGCGGGGACACGTGATGAGAGGAGGAGGGCTTTTGCACGTGCGTGTGCTCATCGCGATTAACTAACCGGAGACTCGAGGTCCAAGCAATTGTACACAAATCGCTCCCTCCCGCGATCATCAGGTGCGTTATTGCACTTGAACCGCATTAACGGACCAAATTCTCCCCGCGCGTACAAAATTGGCCGTCATTATCCGAAGGGGGAAAATTATCGTGAGCCTGAAACATTCCGCCGAGGAATTTCGGTGTGCAACATCGAAGCGTCAATACGTATTAGCGAATATTATCAGCACCGGGTTTTTTTTTATTTATTTTATTTAATTAGCCTTCGCTAATTGCCACTTACGTGATGCTCGTAAAAGTGTTGCTTAATGGTTTATTCGCGTTTGCTCAAAAGTAATTTCGAATTTTTTCTTTGAATTTATCTAATACTTATATCATTCTGTATATGTAACAAAGCAAGAGCGTTATCATTATAATTATATTTATTTATTAATTATTAATTATAATTAATTATTTTATTATTTATTAATTATAATTATTTCTAAGAGAAAAAAATGAATTTAGCATTTTTTAATAGAAATTCCATTGTAATTACTTCTTTTAAAAAATTATATTTGGAGAGTATATTTTCTTTTTTTTGGATAGAAATTCCACGATTCAATCAAATTCGCACGAAGATACGGTTAAATAAATTAAAATTACAGATGATTTCTTTCATGAATAATTTTTGTTCTATCTAACCGCAACTTATATGAAAGTTATTTTAAAAGCTTTCATAAATACGTGGAATGCAGCGAATATTATCAGCACCGGGTTTTTTTTTATTTATTTTATTTAATTAGCCTTCGCTAATTGCCACTTACGTGATGCTCGTAAAAGTGTTGCTTAATGGTTTATTCGCGTTTGCTCAAAAGTAATTTCGAATTTTTTCTTTGAATTTATCTAATACTTATATCATTCTGTATATGTAACAAAGCAAGAGCGTTATCATTATAATTATATTTATTTATTAATTATTAATTATAATTAATTATTTTGTTCTATCTAACCGCAACTTATATGAAAGTTATTTTAAAAGCTTTTATAAATACGTGTGGAATGCAAGATACATCGCCACTAATATTCATTTGGCCTCACCTAATGAATTCCCGTAAGACATCGCTCATAAATTACAGGTAAGTGCCGACAGGAACGGGTCATCACACATTCCAGAATGGGAAGCTGATGATTTCTGAAACACACGTATGTGTCCAGTTTATTTTTCTATACAAAATATACGACTTAAAAACATGAATATAAAAAAATTTCAGCGCAGATGAATTCATGCATCCGGATCTTTTAAGCATTTAAGCCGTTCGCGACTGGAATAATAACATAAATTATAGGAAATATAAATGAGCGAAAAAAGAGAATAAAGTTCTTGTAACACCTTTTCTTAAAACATAATTATCTATCTCTATTATTTTATATATTTATCTACGAAAAATCGATATAATGATTCACGGTGAAAGCTTTCTCTGCGAGCCATTGCACTGACTTATTGTGTTAAATTACTAAACAAATTTATTAAATATTCTTTAAGTATTTTCGACGATAATTTGTACAAATATCTTATTAATTTGCAATAATGTTTGCAATAATTTGCGTTACTGTAAAAAATTATCTGAAATATAAAAAAAATATATATACGTATATATATCATACTGTATAATAAAATAAATAATAAAATAATGATAAAAATAAAAAAAAAGATTAAAAAAGACGCAAATAAAAAAGATTGATGCAACCGATTCGCTTGTATTGAGTGGCCTGAATTCTATCGATTTCCGTATAAATCCGTCCCTGGATGGATCTCGAATCGGTGCCGTGCCGATTTAGATGAAATACCGGCCGAGCCAGGATGCGATGGGGTCCCCGGTGTTCGTCGAGCGTACATACGTGCGGTACGCAACGTAAGACACGCTCAACGTGGACGGGCGAGGACAGACCCTTTCTTTCGAGGACTCGTTCGCTCCGCCGGCGGCTCGACTCGCCGGGGCCAATGGCCGGTCAAAGTCCCACCTTCGACGTTTGCCAGTTTTTGCCCCCCCCCTTTCTTCTCCCCTCGTCCATCTCGGGCACCTCTTCGCCTGATGTAGCGGTCTCAACCCTCTTGGCATCGTCTTCCATATAGCTCGTCGTCTCGCGTGGTCCGAACTTCTTGTGCACGGTGACCTCATCAAGGGAGAGGAGGGGCCTCGTCAAATCGGCGACGACGAGCACCTGAGATCCATTCGAGAATATCACGGTTCAAAATAAATCGATTAAAATTTATATAAATGTTGAAGAGACGACGGTTATATCGATCTCTATGAATACTTTATCAAGATCTAAAATTAAATTCGATGATTCAATGTGTTTTTTTTTTCCGAAGTGATAACGATATTTCAGTGACAATGCGTCTTAACTCCTAAATCTTTTATACGATGTATACCTATATTTCAAAGTCAATATTAATAGATATATTAATTCTCGGAATGACCGATGAATCAAGATTTACTCTACAACGAGCATTATAGGAGTGGGTCTGGGAAAGACACGATAGAAATTCCAGCTGGCTTCCGAGAGCGACTATGAGCGAGCCTCGGATTAGCAACTGACACCTTGCATAAGCGTAGGAATATGTAATGCGTGCGACGAGCACGTATGAGCTCAGGTTGCCTTTGTATACTCGCGTATCGTATCGTAAGTAGGTATCGTTCCTATGATTCGTTCGTTAATAACTGGATTTGTAATTGGAGCTTGTTATGCGCCGGGAAACTAGATAACGTTCGTCAAGAATTAACCAAAGTGATCTTGCAATTTCAGTTTTAATTGATGGCCATGTTATACGATATAATGTTACACACGGACCATTCATTAGTGAAGATGTAAAGACTCGCGAGAAATAATACTTTATTCGTGGAGAAAAATGAAAATTATTCTCAGCAAATAATTACTTTGCATAAATCTGTCTATTGATAAATGATTTACATCTATAACATTACATCATATTATAATATGTGTATGATTATAAATTAAAAGTAAAATAAGATTGCAGTATTTCTCCCCACTTTTATTTGCTCTTTTAATTAATATTTTAAGTAGCCATTAAATCGTCAAATAAGTCGAATAGCCATTAATTTGATCGAGCAAATATAACATTTGAGATTTATTTATTTATTCTATTATTCTTGTCCATAATTTTTCACTATCTCTCTTCGTCTACTCACGTCTACTCATCATGTTCCATTACTGTATGCGAGAGTATGCTAATTTATTTCGCAATGGCAGATTTGCTTAAGGTTCCAAATATTCTTAAAAAAATGAATAAATAAAAAAATACAAAAATCGTGTTGCACATATTTGTAACCCCACCTTTTTTTTTTTCTAAAATTTAATAATTATTAAAGTTATAAATAAAACCTATGCGTCATTTTGTTCACTAGATGAGAACGATAGATATTTTGTTTCTAGCATAAATATTGTTTCCACTTATTGTTAGCTCTTGGAATTTTAAGTTCTCCGTTATCATTGAGAGTTTTATTCACGTCCTTCTAAAGATGAGCAAGCTCACGTTCCCAATTCTGAAAATGCTGCTTGTCAGTCATGTTACATGTGCAATGTAACGTGACCGCTCCAGCGTTTTATTATTCTGATCTAGTCGTTAACGTCGGATTACTGTCTGCTCGCGTTTTATGTATGCTTAGTACGCGACAATTCGTCATAGATGAACATTTTCTTCGAGATAAATGCAACCTGGCACGTGTGAAATGCGTGTAACGAGCGCATTATCACATGGCTTTCTAATTTATTGGATGTCGTATGAATGCCTTTTCATGGCACTAAAATAATGCAAATAAACGTACGATGTTATGTTGTATAAATTTGCGAATTGAATGATTTATTACGTTTATATAATTATTGTTATTTTATATACATAAAATTTCCTGTTTTGATTAATAATTTCATACAAAATTAAAATTATATACATTTTATGAATTTTATTTTACTTTATGTAAGGTAGACTAGATAATTTTATCGAGAAAGATATGGTTAAGCTATGGCTAAACAATGTCAAGTTTCTGATAAAAACTGTAATATTTCCTCAGCAATAGCAATGCTGTTGTCACCGCTTGTTTATGATATATATGACGGTTGGGCTCGATCTGTTATCTCTTTGTAAGCATTTAACGTCCTGGAAACTTGAAAATGCAGTTTAGTTTTTAAGAGAGAATACTCTGTATTAATAATCCATATAAAATATACAAAAAATGCCTGTGTGCAAAAATATTTTTATACATAAATAAAATCTTTATGCCTTTTAACTAAAAAAAAAACAACTATATATTTTACATATATGTAGGCATTTTAAATATCTAAGAATTTAATTACGTTTCATATCATTAAGATTCCAAAAAAAAAATACAATGAAAATAATATTGACATAAAAAGCTTATACTTTTCTCAAACTAAATAAAATAATATTTAATAAAGTAATTTGACTAGAGAGACTTTCGCTTATCTTTGCCATTTATGCTACTTTCTTCACGTTGCTTTCATTTATTTTTAATTGTACAAGAAGAGATGCTATGCTTCTTGAGAGAAATACGTCTCGATATTCTATTGAAATTTATTATTTCATTATCCGCAAAGGGGGAGAAGTTTGTCTGAAGAACTTCCTTGTCACGATAGACAGACAACGAAACATGTAGGTCATAGGTCGCCGTCTCGTAAGAATCATCCACACTCTCTGCGAAAATATCACCAAATTGTAAAATAGTATAATACAGATTCATTACTCTCTCTCTCTCTCTCTCTTTCTTTCTCTTTGCCGACTCCCCGCTGCGATCTGTGATTATGCCTTCACGCCATTTAATTTCTGCTATCTGCTCTTATCTACTACGAATGGAAACGTCTTGACTATAATAACCGTGCTCTTGATAATACCGAGTTTTGTGGAGCGTCCAGGGTGCTACGTAATCGTCTTTTCTGATAACGACCGCGAGATTTTACTGCTTTGGAGTTTTCAGTATGTTCTTGATCGGTACTTTATCTGGAATATAAAGCGTCGCTCGCGTATTAATTAATCGGGACCGGAATTCCGGATTTCCCGGCAGCCACGAAGTGTTCGCCGAGAGGCAAAAGTGACCCTTAATAAGGATTAGCAGCGCGACGTAATTAAAACGCGAGCTTCTGCGAGTTACTCGAGACGTAGAAGAATCGTGGAAGATCACAGCCAGCGATGGCAGCCAACGTGTTCGCTGCTTTCTCGGTACTTAAGGACCACGTTAAATTCAAGGTCAATCAGAACGCGGTAGCCATTGACAATATCGGTAATAGATTCCTCGGTTCCGATTTTTTCGTTGCGTACTTAAATAACTGATGCATAATTGGATCAGATTTAATTGTTGCGTTTATCGTTGCATGACTTATCTTTTATACGCTTTCATACGCGTTGTGTCTATTTCGGAAAAAAATTATATCATTTATTATTTAATTATTATATAATTATATCGTTTCATATTAAATTTTGAATATAAATAAAAAGAATGCCTGTGTCTGATTAGTTTTCAGATTACACTATAGGATTACGTTTTTGTTGCTTCTCGTTGCCTCGATTTTAGTCACCTCCAGACAATTCATTGGAGAACATATAAGGTATATTTTTTTGTGCATGGAATCATATATATAATATTGATCGTTCCTGGAATAAATTCTTGTTGTTTCGAATAGATGTATCGCCGATACTGCTGTACCATCTCACGTCATCGAGACCTTCTGTTTTTTCATGTCCACGTACACCGTGGTAAGTTTCAAGTTTTGACATCTTCGTAAAAATGAATAATGCAATACCATCCCTTTTCAATACAGTAATTTTTTGTCAATTACAAAATAAAGATATTTAGATAATTTTTTAAATTATATTTATATATCAAATATGTATATTTTTTTAATATTAGAATCTCAAATGTTGGAGAACGATACTAAACGAGCATTTATTTTTCTAAGAAATATCTAATACATATATATACATATATATACTTTTACCCAACGTGCTGTTGCGAAACTGATGGATAACCCAAACAAAGTTATCGTTTTAAGAATAATTGGGAAATAATGCTGTCTATAAGAATAAACATTACTCTGTCATAGACGTTGCTCGTTATCAATCAATTTACTCTTCAGGTGAAGCATTTGAATGCTACCGCGGTGCAGCAAGGTGAATTACCACATCCTGGCGTTGGACCAGTGGCTAAAGACGACCCCGTCATACATCACGCTTATTATCAATGGGTGCCTTTTGTCCTGTTCTTTCAAGCGCTTCTCTTCTATATGCCGCATTACGTATGGCGAAAAATGGAAGGTCGAATATGCATATACACGTACCCGTCGACGTTTACAACCGCGTTTATCTCAAGCAGCGAGCTAATCATCATTAATCTTTCCTTGCCATCGTAATCTAATCATTTAACACCTACATATAGTATCCGACTTAGAGTGTTACATTGTATATTATTTAGAAAATCATTTTTTAGTATTACATATCGATAATACCTCAATATTAATGAATCGATGATAATCGAAATCTGAATATTACAAGATTTGAGACTATATCATTTTTTGTTACAAGAATTGCACAGAAATTGCAATAGAATTGAATTTCAGGTAATCGGCTAAATATGTTAGTTTCGGGATTACACATGGCATCTTTATTATTGAGCGAAACGGAGGTTAAGATAAACGACGATGTCAAGGTACCTTCGAAAAAGGATCGCGACGAGAAGATACAGCAGATTCGCACTGGCTTTATAAACCGCTTGCATTTGAATCGTCCGTGGGCATACGGACTGACCTTTTGCGAGAGTCTGAATTTTATAAACGTGATCATGCAAATTTACTTGACCGACTGGTTCCTTGGAGGAGCTTTCCTAGGCCTTGGCCAATCAGTCTCTGAGCCACTGTCCAAAGATAAAATGGATCCACTCGACATAGTTTTCCCTAAGGTACAATTTCATTTATATATCTACCCACTTTTTATATTTTACACGTATTATAACAATAATCAAAATTGTATAATGATTACCTAATATGATATCAATTATGGTATATTGTTGAGTTGGAATATTTATTGCCGTCATGTTTGCAATAATAATACTATAGTAATTCAAATTATAATCTTTGATCAATCAATATTTTGTATGCAATTTTATAAAAAACTTGGAAATTATAGTTATAAAATGCAAAAAATTTTTATCTTTCATTATATTATTAATTCAAGGTTTTATCAACTTTAATCATTATATACATGTAATTATAGATTCCGCTCATATCAATGCTTCTAAATTACCTCATTGAGAACGAAATGTATTCGTGAATATGTAATTATATTTTTTTAGGTAACCAAATGTATTTTTCATAAATACGGCCCCTCTGGTTCCATACAAAAGCACGATGCGTTGTGCGTGATGGCACTGAACATCGTTAACGAGAAGATCTATACGCTTCTTTGGTTCTGGTTCGTCGTGCTGGCAGTAATAACCGGTTTGGGATTGGTTTGGAGAATGCTGACCATGATCTTTCACGCCAGGTTGCTAAACTTTGTCCCTGCATATTTTTCCATCGTCAGCGTGGCTTTATAAATTTACGCCACGGTATTTGTTCATTAATTTTGAATGGAAATTCTCAATTGACTGGTTTACTATCCGAAGAGAAAGATCTCTGGAAAAAATTGGTTACACTAGTCAGAAAAGTCTATAATCAATTTTCATCATTTCGAATTTACTGTACAGATAAAAAATTCTGTACAGATAAAATCCTATTTAGATAGAAGCTAGCTATTAATCAGAAAATATACAGATAATTTTAGTTTTTAATAGCTGGCGCTGTTAAAAGAATATTTTCTAATAGAAAAAATAGCTAGGAACTAGTTAAGCCAAACGGATCAGTAAATGATAATTAGTTTATGTCTAGTGAAAACTCAAAATACTCCGGTTATTATTTTCTGACCAATAATTAGCCAAGAATTAGATAAGACAAACTGATTTATAAATAATGGTCAATCCATATTATTATATTCTATATAATATAATGGCTTGTTTGAGAAACTCATGGATCTCTAGGTTAGCAAAATTTAAGATTTGTACATATCTAAAAATAGCACGAAAAATAACACACGAAAGGATGTCAAAAGATTATTATTACGAAGTTAACGCGAATAATATACCGCGATAAGCGCTTTTTATACAAATGACGAATGAATACCGATTTCATAGAGTGACTTTCATCCCGATTCTTTTTCCTTGCAGAAGCACATCATTCAACAGATTCGTGTTTTCTATGGCCTGCCCTGGGAAATACAATCCGTGGAACGTACTCAAGGTCACTCACGAGTATTACTTCGGCGACTGGCTATTCCTCTACTACATCGCCAAAAATTTAGACAATTACGTTTTCAAGGAGCTTCTTCAGAGATTGGCAGAGGATCTAGAGAACAGACGTCATGCGCGTTATAAAATCTTGCCCCCAGACGTCGAGGAAGAATTGCTGAAGAAACAATGGGATGATATTAAGCCTTCCATAAATTGAGGAACTTGAATATATAGTAACCGTTAAATACTCGTTCATAAGTAGTCTCGCAATATGATAGCTAAAAAATTTTAGATCAGTCATAATTTTAAAAAAATTTTTTTTATAATCCGTATTGTTTTTTAATTTTTTTTTCGGCAGCAACTCAAGTTACATAATACATTTGTCAAATCACAGAATTTACACATGGAGATATTGACAGGAAACCAATATAGTATAGCTTAATATGTATAGCTATACAAATATTGAACAAATAAGAGCTGCAAATGTGCGATTATATATTGCACGATGAAAATTTGCGTCATAATGACTTTTGAAAAATGGTTATCTCGCATAAATTATATGCAAACTTTAATAAGCAGATAACAAGCTAGATATATATAATTTTTTGTACGTTACACATGTGATCGCGCGCATTCGCGAGTATATTATAACACTGCCGAACGAAAAATTGTTCTTTTTATATGTATATAAACGTGCTTTAGCGCGATTTACTGCAATTGTAGGATAATGCGTCTTGCGTGCATCACGTTTGCAACCGCGCTTGTGCTCGCGCATGACATGCATGACATAAACGCATAACCGATCATCTTTTAACTATCTCATACGGAGAGCACGCGTGCATACGTTGCGTGTGATCGTATACATTGTGCACACCCGTGTGTGTACAAGCTAGCACATATATATATACGCAATAAATAGTCCGTACGTTATACCGATCCGATAAATGACTCGACAATAGTTCGGATCGTTAAGTCGTTAAGGCCTCTGATTGGAATTGTACTGTGGCCTACTATCGTGTTCGATAAAGGTTTAGATTTTATGGCACTCGTTGGAGCTGTTTATTCGAATTATTGCTACATTCTGTACCTCCCATCGAGCGTTTGAAAATATTGACTCGATGACAAAGGAGCACGCACATTTACTTTGTATAATATTATTTCTAATGATTAATATGAATACAAAAAAAATAATTTTCGCGCTAAAATCCTTTGTAGCAAAATAATTTTATTATTAATCTTTTTTAAAAGTTTCTTTTATATTTGAATAATTTTTTATAACATAGCATTTATATGTGTATGTGTGCATGTATGTGTGTGTATAGGAGTGCCATATCAATAAATATTCATAATAAATATTTTTATGAAAATAGATATCTCTAGTATTTGTAACAATTCCAGCGAATACGAATTGTAACATCTTTATCCAACGAGGGTCTCCAAATGAGGTTTTCTTAGGTCTCGTTACAACGAGCTTTTGTCTCCGTGCGGATGCATATCTCTGACATGAGAAGAAATCCGAGAGTCCGGTCGATGAAATCGTCACTGGCCGGAACTCATTATATTCTCTTGGGTCGGGAAATGACGAAAGCGACAAGAGAGCAGAAAAAGAATGGAAGCTTTGCCCGCGTAGTTGACGCACTTGGACTCTAGACCTGTAAACCGGTCAAACCGCGCCAAGCGTCGCTTATTTTCTTTGTTCTCGCGTTCAAAGTCGGACGAAACCAATCGATAGACGCGATATCTGCTCATTTAATGAACAGACCGTTCGAGAAACAATAGGTACCTTTCTGTAACAAGACTTTTATATATNCTTGTCTAGAACTCTCGTACTTTTAAGATGATTGCAAATGAGGATGGAGATAAGCAAAATCAACACTGCCGGCAATATGGATTTAACGATATTTTCTCTTACTCTCATTTTTTTTTAATTATTGTACTGTCAATTTTTTTAAGTAGAGATTTTTTATAGGGCGATTCAGATAATAAGGTTTCGTCTAAAGTCCAATTAATTTGAGGATAAGTACTAACGCGGATGTTGGCATCCGGTTTTTAAAGATAATATTTTCTTGCACGAAAAATTGAACAAAAACATATATTAAATTTTATTTTTTAATATTTACTATAATATATAAAATATATTTTTTTAAATATATAATTTAAATAATCTGAGACAAATATATCGTTTTGAAAGTTCCAGTAAAAAAATAAAATAGTATTATCTATTCCATTTTTTTCTCAGTTAATTATACAATTTTATGTAACCATTTTCGAGAGACAAGCAGTTTCTTTGCTCCCAGATATTTATTGCCGATCACTCTCTGTGTATAATAATGCAAATTTTATGGCGTCGCGCGTTTGTTTGAGCTTGAAACACGTGCACTATTTGTGTATCTTGTAACTTAAGTCTTCGTGGTAACTCGAATATCCCGAACGTCACTCAAGTCTGGCGCGCGTTAATTATACTTGGAAAAGGGAAGAAAAATTAGAAATGTGAGGGGAAGGAAGGCAAAGAAAGGACCGAGAAACCTGGAAAGCAGCTGTGCGTTTTCGGAATAATCGCTCGTCTGCAACATCCTGTACCATGATCATCAGCCAGACATTTCATTTTTCTATAACATGAATTCATTTTGTATCTAACCTTTCATAAAACAACAATATGCTTATAAAATTTCGCGAGAATTCGTTAGGTGTTCCACAAGATGTCCAAAATTATCCCTGTATAATTTCAATTTTTCCCAATAAAAAAAAAAATTATTTCTTATATTTATTAGTGTTAAATAATATACATATATGCCTATTGTTGTCTTTTTTTTTAATTTTTAATTCTTTTGTCGTTCAACCGTTACGATAATAAAGACTGTTTGGTGCCAATATAAGCAGATAATTTACGTAACCAAAGTTAGTTTTAAGCTACATTATAGTGCGACTCTTGATGACATAAAGCGGCTCACCGATGATGCTACGTCCACGCATACAACCGCAGTAAATACATATATTTATGCCAAAGACGTGCGGGAGTCGAATGTGAAACGCGTGAATGCAATACAAAGTGCGGCTTGTTTTTTGTCAGGTCGATTACTAATACGATCCACCGGATCTCGGTGAGAAAATTCAGATGCGATTGCGTGATACATCGTAACAACGCGCACGAAATATACGCATGCCATAAGCAATGCAAATTATCTTCACGTAGAGATGATAAAATCTAAGGTTTAGAGACGAATGTTGGTGTACGAACGCAGAGAATGATGCATATATTGCACATTCCGGCGCATCGTATGTCTAGACGATGCTTTCGTTTATCTCATATAAATGTGTGCTCGGAGATACATGAGATAGATTCTTTGAAAAGTCCGTCATTCGATAAATAATACATATTATGACAAATTTAATGTTGTATTTACCTTGAAAAAAAATGCATGATAATTTAGAAATGTTAATATTTGAAGTGTTTCTCAATTTATTGAATTTAGGGGAGAGAAATACTGAGTTTAATATTTAATCTTATATGATATATGACATACATTTTTTTTTCTCACCATATGCTACATGCGTGTTTAGAGAACTACGAACATTAAACGTTGCTATATATGAGCAACAGGTTGCTCTTAATCTATCTAGGACGCCATATGTACTGTGCTTCGTAAATGTCTAAGATATTTAGATGTAACGCCTTTTTTGCAACATCCTCAGTTAACTGTGTATATTGTAGATTTAGAATTTATAATTAAATATAAAATATTATATATATTATCTCTATATACAATATCTTATCTTTGAAGAAATGTAGGTAAAATTGTTATAAATCAGTCTGTCGAAATCAGAAAAATTTTATATGTCTGCAAAGGATTAACATTTAAAGATACGAATGAAAATGACTTTCACTTTTAGTCTTCCTTTCTGTGAAAGTTTAAGGCCAGGGTATTACTTTTCAAACGTTATAAGGGCGAGGAGACGTTGCTACACAGCTGGCATGCATTCGTCACAATTGACATGATTGAGTCGCAAGCGGTTCTCAATTCCACCGACTTTGTCCGGTAAACCGGTCCAATGGCCTTTAGATTGTCCACGTTTGAGAGATCGAATGCGCAATTTCATGTGTGCGAGACGAATTACGTGATCGCAATCGAATTGCTTCATCAAGCAACACACCGAAATGAAATAAAAAAAATGAAATAAAAAAAATGGGGAATGGAAGTGAAAGGTGTTCGCTAAGAATAAGTAAGCCATCTCGAAAAAAGCGAATGTAATATTTTCATCTGTTGTGAAATGCCGGCAAAATCGAGTTCTTGTCTAATTGTTCGCTTATATATTGGTCATTAAGTAATTTCTGTGTATACAGAAATAATATAAAAAATTTAATTTAATTTAAAAAAATTAAATTAGAATTTTACACAAAAAATGCGCATAATGTTGCTTCTTCAAGCGCTAAAAAAATTTCTGTTATCAAAAATAATTTTTTTGTACTATAGAAAATATTATTTGTAAAAATTATAATCGTCAAAAAATATCATTTTCAAAAATAGATTTAAAATATCAACCATTAAAAATTCACATTCTTTTATGAATTGATTTTTCTGTAAATTAACGGCTAAATTACATGACAATGTTATGTAAAATTACGTATTGTATTAAATTATGTAATAATACTTTTAGTTCATATGCATAATTCGCCAATTAAAATTATGTTCTCAACGCGCATTATGATGAAGTAATACAAATTGCATTCATCATCACGGCTTTGTTCTTATTGTCAATACTCTTTGCGCAGATACGCGCACATGTATCCACGCGGACAATGCAATGATCAATAATATAGTCAACGAGAACAACTGACACACAAAGAGCGACAGCCATGATGAGAATCAATCAGTTGAGCTGTAATTTTTAAAGGCTTTTAGGAGTCACGTGAAAGAGAGAAAATGAACGTATCACATTGTGCGTGGTAATTTCAATAATAGTGGCTTCTAAATCGAATTGTATAAAAATCTCGGAGAGAGTGAAAGCGCGATTTTTCGATTTGACTTCAAGTCAGAAATTGTTTATTGACAGCGTGATAATTAAAAAGCCTATCAATTTTGTCAATTCGGTATAATTACTAAAGAAACAAATTAGTGCAGAATATATTCACCATTGATATTGTAATCGATTTGATCATCGATATAAATAGCCAATTAAGTTAATTGTGATGAATATACGAGATTATTAAGAATGTGCTCCTTGTTCGAATTGGCATCTTTTCAAGAAATTTATCATTATCGTTTATATTTTCAATGAAAAGTCGATGCAAAAAAAGTTCATAATTTATGATAAAAATGTACATAATAGCTCGCGCATTACTCGGGTTGCATAAGATGCGTATGACGTTGCGTCATCTTTCGACCATCTGGTCCACGGATCGCGTCGCTACGGAGACGATGAAAAACGGATGTGCACACAAAGTGTTCGCGGATGTGCAGATTATTACGAATGTCCACTGGCATCCGCGAACTCGCATGAATGAAACCGAATCCGTAGTAATTCTCATACTTCGGACGTTTACGCAAATGAGTCATCGACGAAGCTCGCGTATCACATGTTGAATTTTCATATAAACGGGAATGTTACTTATCGCGTGACGCCAATGAATTATGGTCATCGTGGGATAATACGGTCGATTAAAATCTTATATGAAAAAATATATAATATAGATCTCGTAAAAGAAAAATGTGATACGCTAAAATTAGTTTCCATTCTGTGAAAAATTCACGCAAAATGTTTTTGTCTCTTGACGCGATTAAAATGACCCCGTGTAGATGATAATATTATGAAAATCGAAAAAATCATTAAAAAGTGTATCACATATTTATAAATTATATTATTTAAATGTGCATGTATAATGTGCTAATTTACAAATGTAATCTGTTACTTGATATTTTACCTTGTTGATTTGATTTGAAAGATATATCAATTTTCAAATAAGTTCTAATAAATTGTTATAATTTTTTAAAGTTATCCATCACATTTATAGATAGAATATTCGTGTAACATTTGTTTTACTTGGATGTTTCTAGAAAGAAAGAAAAGGACGAGATGAATAGTCGATATGTGAATTTCAAATATCCGTCTACAAGGATACAAATGCAAAAACAAAAAGGATAGAATGAAAAACTGCCTTCTGTGTGTAAATCTCCCTGAAAAATTCAAGAAATACGAAGAATCTCACAAGGACAAGAGAGAGCGAGCTTCCGACATTTTCTTCTTGAAGGATGAGAGAATGTTCCATAAATTTTTATGGATGTCCTCGAAACATTTTTCTTTCAATGACAATTTTAGTTTCGGGAAAATGCAGTCAGAGTGAGAACAAAATGAGAACATAAATTTGTTTCAGAATAGAAATTCTTGTAATATATAAATATATGATTCGATGTATTTTGTATCGTATAATTGCCTAGTTTACGATATATTTGGGCCTTACACAAACACAATCCGCTCTTCTATAAATGTTTCAAAATGTTTAAATATATATATAAAATAATATATATGTATCCCCTTCCTTTATTACGGCGAAATCAAAAGAGCTTCTGATATATTTTTATATTTTTTTTACATTTCGTATACAAGAGAGATAATATAAAGTTTGTTAACGTTAGAGGAATAAAATTCTATGCCCATTTGTGTAGATTATTAATATCCTTATTAACATGTAGCTTTTTTGAAAACTCTTGCGCGAAACGGCAAATACAGAAAACCAATATTGTCTCGCTAGAAATACGTCGGGAATTCTCTCAACCTTTGATAACGTAAGGTAAACATCGCGGCTGAGTATTTCAATATCCTCGAATGTATTTTGTACATTTCAGCAGTTCGAATATATTCTATACAATAACAACGTACGTTCCTTTGTATGTACAGCTACTGTCTGTCTTTCGCATCCTATCGCACGATCATCTCTCTCTGTCTCTCTGTCTCTCTCTCTCTCTCTCTCTCTCTCATTAATGTTTTCACATCGTTGACAAATACAAAAGGTATGCACTACTGATTGCAAGCTGCGAATGATTGAAATAATTTACTTCCATGAAATATTAAATTACTGGCAACTATAATAATGTTTTCAGTCAAGATTAGGTGCGGTTACAGTCTGATGAAATCTTACGAAATAAAGCGTAAGAAGTTAAATTATTATGTAAATTATTGTAATTATATATGTATATATTTTGGGTTATCTCTGATTTATATTCTTGTATGTGTGCAAGATATTAAAAAAATATATACTATATAAAAGATATACACTAAAACAAAAATAAAATAAAATATTTTAACGAGGTGCGTGCATTTTTTTCAGCAATAATTAAAATGTCTATGACATGTACATTTCGTAATATTACACCATATTATTTACGAAATTTTAGCGTGTAGCGATTGATATACATATACAATACGCGCGTTCCAAAATGCACGGCGAGTCAAAGGACCAGACCACACAAAATCTCTCGTGTCTCGATTTCCCTTCCCGGGTACGAGGGGCGAGGGGAGCTCACCGGGCAATTCATCCCCAAATAAGTATATACTGGCGTAAGACGGGGTCGCCCCCTATTCTCGAACCAAATGTGCCGCTGTGAAAAGGATCATCATGGTAACGGTAGTAACGTCGGATGGACGAGAGCGCGCGCGAGCGTGACATATACTATAGAGCAGCACGCATTATAGCGTACAAATCGAGAGGCGTGCGTCGGCCCCCTCCGACGATATTCCCCATCCTCGGCCCCCCCCCCCCCCCCCCCCTCTTCCCCTTTCCATACATGCCGCTATGGTCTCCCCTGGGTACGTTCGTCGAGAGTCCCCTTCTCCGCCACCCCCCTCTCGACGACACAACAAACAACCGCGACTTCTCGTCAGTTGCCGCTCAAGATATTGCTACGTACGCACGTACGCACGCATACACGTATCGGCACTCGATGCCGCGGCTGTCTCACGGTATTTTCTGTGAGAAAAGAAAAAAAAAAATTTATTCTTCCGCGAGAAAAAGAGAGAAAAACGGAGAAGACGAGAGAGCCTCGTCGCTGCACAATTTTGTTTCGCGTTGCGCGTGCATGGAAACGAAAGTGAGGAGGGAGACTTTGTCGAGAAGGGGGATGGTGGTAGAGTAAGGAAGAGAGAGAAACGGAGTGAGAGAGAGATGGCGACAGAGGGGGGTCGGCACGATTGACAGTTGGTAGTTAGTGTCGCTTCCTCGATACGCGACGGCGTTGCTCAGCCACGTTGCGTTCGCTCCTAGTAAGATTCTCCGAAGTATCCGAAGGGAGCCGAGGGGAACGGGAAGAGCGCGAGAAAGAGGGGAGGGAAGAAATTAACGTCCTCGAGAAGGGAACGCGGGTACGCGTGCGTCTACGAAACCGCCGGCCTTAGCTTAGTTTACCTTAAACCGCGCGTTCCGCGAATGGGAGGGATCGTTTGGGAAATCGAGGATAATCGTTGATCGAGATCGAGAGCGTTTAAAGGAAGAGAAAGAAGGACAGGGATCGCGAGGAATCTCGTAACGTATCGGGACGCCGCGTTTATTTACACGTGAACTCGCACGATCGTGTGCTAGCAGGACGCAGAAATTCCTTGGATAATTACTGAAGGAAACTGTTCGAGGAGATTGCCTGAGAGAATACAAGACTACGCAACGAATTCTTTTCGACTAATTATTCGACAAAATCATAAGAAAAGATAATATATCCAAGAAAGAGAGGATATCCTGTAGGATTAAGAAAAAGCGGAAACGGCGAGGATAAAAAAAGAATTTAGAGAGAGAGAGAGAGAGACGGAAACAACGACGGGAAGAGCGACAAAGACGCGTGCTGTCTTCTCCCTCCCCCGCATCGGCGAGTTTTTATTACTCGCTCGCTAAAATGATTCACACGAGCTCGTGAATCAAAAGCCGCCGATCTCTTCGCAGGAGGAATTGGAACACGTCGAGGACTCGTCGGCAACTCGTCCAGCGTGGTTCGGTGACCTATCTCGCACGCAGAGCCGAGGGGAAGGAAGGACCCCCGGCGGGGATACAGAGGGTTACGGAGAGAAAGAGAGGCAGTAAAAGAAGGGCAGGGTAGGAGGGAGAGAAAAAACGAGAGAGAGAGAGAGAGAGAGACAAAGAGAGGGGGCAACAGACGGAGGGAAGCAAAGCGGCAGAGCACCGGGAGAAGGCGAGACGGAAGACGGAGGAGAAAAAAAGGAGGGAACGGTAGAGGAGGCAAGCCGCGTGGACACAACCGTGCACGCTCGTGTCTCTCTCTCTTGTTTCGTTTTGCTGCTTTCGTTCGCGCGAGAACGCGGTGGATGAGCTACGCTCGTTAGTGCCGGTTGATGGTACTAGTCTTCGTGGTCGTCGTTGAAATTCCTACGTAACGGGAAGGAGAGAGGTGACTTTGGACCGTCTATTCGCACGTGGTGCTCGTGGCCGTGGTGGTAGTAGTAGTGGCGGTGGTGGGTGGCTGTTTGACAGCACGCGGTGATACCTCTCGTCTTCGAGATCGGCAGATTTTCCGCCGTCAACGTCGGTCCCCTCGTCGGCAACGATAGCTAGACACCGACGCGATCATGTATAAGCTACTGGCAGATTTGAGCCGTTACTTGAAACGGCAGGAGATTATTACGGATTCTATGGTGTTTCGGATGCACAACCACTTCACCACGGTGCTGTTGTTCGCGTGCTCGATAGTGCTCACGGCCACCCAGTATGTCGGTAATCCGATCTCCTGCATCGTCCAGGGCCTGCCTACGCACGCCATCAACACTTACTGCTGGATAACTTCCACCTTCACTATGCCGGACGCGTTCAATCGACAGGTGCGTGTGTGATTTTCGATTGTGTACCTATCCACCCGATCGTCCTTGATCCTTGCGGGATCGTCGCTGCCCCCCCCCCTCCCCTCCCCTTCTTGACAACCATCTCGTCAAATTACTACCGGTTTCCTGGATATTCCAGTTAATTATGATTGCAAACGCGCTATGTCCTTAAAATTATCTCTGCATCTAACAATCAGTCAATATGTCAAGATAAACAGCACTAAAAAAAGACTATTGTTAGTCTTTTTTTAGTGCTGTTTATCTTGGAATTGTTGAGGATGCATAATGCAAATTAGAAGTGTATTTTTAGAAAATTAACTTGTCTCGAGTTCCTTTTGGTTAGTAACACCTTTTTTATGTTAAATCTTCGATCTTTACATTCTTAAATTATATATATTTTACTTATGTATTGCACTCTTTCTTAAATCGAATATTTTAATAATAAAACTATGAATACATTGTGTGTTATTTTTGATAAGAAATCGTTGATGAAAAAATGATTAATGGACGTTTAGACGGATCAATATCAATTAAAGAAAAGACTAAATTAATTAAAGATTAAAATTTGCGCAGGTGTATCAGTTGCTGAAGCTGTTAACGTTACATAGCATTATTATACCACAGCGTATATTGTACATTATACTGACAAGGCAAAACACGTCTTTTTTTACAGCTCAACTATTGCACGCTACTCTTTTCTATTTACTGTACACACATTATAAATTAGAATTTCCGATAACCGTTGTCTGACTTGACTTTTAATCATAAATATTTAAGCAAATGCACTTAATTTACTCTGCAAGTATTTGTAATAGATGGAAAAAAGTTATTTATATAAGCCATTACATAACTATACATATATTTACATATATTATCGGATCAAATTTTAAATTACATCGTCTTTATTGACATCCATCGGCATTTGTGCGTAAAAAAATATATAGGCGAAACTATATCGAAATTATCGATACGGAAATCAAACGCGCTGATTACATCATCGAGGGACAATCTATTTAATTTAAATCTTTGAACAAGAAAGTAATCTTTATAGTAAGTCTGTAAAAATAGTTATAACTATTAACTGTATCGCTATAATCTTTTTCATATTAAAATATCTATTAATAATTTGCCTCAATAGATCCGCCGCGTTGTTTTTTTTTTTTTTTTTTTTTTCCTATATCGATTGTATCACCTTACATACTGCTTTTGATATGTGATATCGCGTTTCGCTGTTATAGAGGTTTATTTGTCACGTTTACACTTTTGATATAACAAGTCTCAGCAGCGGGTAATATAAACAGCATTTGATTTCCATACGCGATAAATCTGGATCTATAATTTCCTACGTATATCTTTTACGGGTGAATATTTTTACGTATAAAAATGATATTTACAAGTTGCTATTATCGGTAATTTTATAGTTACCGCTCCAATCATTCAAGTTCTATGATTGAAATAAAGTATCGAGGAATTATCATTTTTTTTTCCTCGAAGTAGTTGAGAAATATGCAAAATAATAAGTGACGGAGAGATGCCATGACCACGGCTAACGATGACGGAATAATTTATTCAAGATGTATGTATGCTGGAATGTGGCAGGCGGTCAATTTTAATTAACAATATACAATTGAGACTTAGATTCATACATACACGCTTCTATATATTAATGACATAGAGAAATCGATGGAAAACCGTCTAAAGCCGTTAGCTACAAGTTTGTTATTAAAATGTACGCATGCAAACATTAAAATATCATATCCTATAAAAACATTAGACAATATGTCTAACTGTAATCTTTATAATTCTCTCACTAATTATACTTGGAAATTTTTTTGACCGTCTATGTATTTATAAACGTGTAAAAGTCCCGGTTGTCTCGTTACAAGCCGAAAAAAGGACAATAAAAATTAACA